CCCCTTGTATCCCACATTCCCAATCATATTATATAATTCATCTATAAACAAACAAAAAAGAACAGGACTCAATACACTGCCCTGTCTAACAACAATAGTACAAGGAAAGTAATCAGAAATCACACCATCACGTCTGATGCACGATTTGACATCACTGTACATTGACTTGACAATGGTTAACATTTTACCTGATATACCAATATTATGTAATTTGATAAAAAGTCGACTATGGTCGCCAGAGTCAAAAACTCTGGCAAAATCAACAAATATACAGTAAAATGTTTCTCTTTTTTTTAAGATAATTTTGAACGATTGCATACAAGTCCAGTATGTTGTCAACAGTACAAAAACCTTTACGAAATCCTGCCTGCACTCCAGAGATGGTCCCAGTATCCTCTGCCCATTCATAAAGTCTGTTGTTTAGTATGCTACAGAATATTTTCCCGAAGACATCCAATAATGTGATTCCCCTGTAGTTATTGGGATCAGATTTTGAACCTTTTTTCAAAAGTGGAATAATTACCCCATGACCACCCTTCAGGAAATTTCCCGTTTCAAAAACATTGTTAAATAATTCACTCATGAGTGGTAATAAATGATTTACAGAACATTTAAAAAAATTCAGCAGGAATTCCGTCTGGACCAGTAGCTTTCCCATTTTTCAGTGATTTCACTGCTTTGATAATTTCATCATTAGTGATCCAATCATTCAAATCTCCACAATTACCATTTTCAGCATAATGCTGCTCAAACATTGAATCAAAAGTGATGTCCCCGTTGTTTACAACCTGTGGCTTATTTATCTGTGCAAAATGTTCCAACCAACAATTAGACGAAATTTGTGGACTACTAGAGGTACCCCTACAATAAAAATTAATGTACAAACTGAAGTGAAATTAGCAAGCTTTGTCTGTTTTACCGTGCATTTTTCCATTGTTTTCTATGGAACGAATATATTTCAATATCTCAAAATGTTGCTCGCTGACATATGGTGACACAAATATATAGTGTCTTACAAGGTATTTTTGATGTCCAACAAAATTTAGAATTTGAAACCGTTGCTATGACATTTTATGCATATTGTTTTACAGTTTTTCTCAAAAACAGAATGAAAGTGAACCACAAAAGTGCATACATTTAACACTAATTTATGCTTATGGCAATACGAGTCACAATTAAATATACACAAATTTATATCTGTTCTGTGGTTTTACAGGCTTCAAGCTTGACCACGAGTAAATCAATTTTCACAAACCATAGAAACTTCAAAATCGCATTATACAATTGAATAAAGGTCGCGATTTCAAAAAACCTACCGTTCAACTGTTACTTCAGCTGTCGCAACAAAACAAAATGTCTACGACTTCCATGCAGAATATCATGTAAAAATAACTAATTATTATTACGTTTTCAGTTATAGTGAAATAGGGATCAAACGTAAATATATAATTTAATTAGCAACCCGTTTTTCAAGTTCTATGTACAAAGTCAACTATAGACGCTGAGGTGTCTAATTGTATCCACCATTTTGACGTACTGACTGGATTAAAATATTAAATGTTTTCCACCATCAACAAATTAAGTTAATTGGGCTTTATATTTGCATGATGACGCCATACACACGTTGCTTCCAAAGGCCGACTTGGGCGTCAACAACGGGATATAAATCAAATACATTTACTAGACGCAAAGGGTACTCAGATTTTAATATATTCTCTCCAAATAATTTATTTATCGTGTTCAAATATTGTATATAGTCTCAGACTCATTGAGATGAGGGCGCATGCGCACCAACATGGGCGCTAGAATATTAGAACGGATACACGCGTTGTGTCGTCACCGGAAGCGCTGAGACGCCGAACTGCAGCGTCAATGCGGATACACGTTCTCTGTTCCGAGTAGTTCCGAGAATGGTCATTGATGACGCGTTGACAACGTAACAATCGTTCTACAACAAAAAGGCCACGGCAAAACGTTTCACAAAAATTAGTCCTGTTTGAGTGCGACATGGCAGAGGATAATAAGAACGCGAGGCCGATCATTGCTGCACGGGAGAAAGGTTGGTCATATATACGTTCTGATAACAGTTGGCTACAACGAAAAACTAGTTTATCTGAGGTTCGAGGCTCAGCATAGAGTCAGTTGTAGGATCATCTTTTGGTGTATTGATAAGCGAGGTTGGGGTGCGATGACGATAAAGTTATTAGTTTTATGATGCAGATTTATCTTCATCTTACCTTCTGACATTTCACCAATATTTCCCAATATTTCTAACATTTGAATCATGAAAATAAATTACTGATGTTCAAAATATACATCTTTATAAATTGTAACGGAATGGTATAATTGGTTAGTTCATTGTAAGTGACAACCATATACAAGTTCTATTTTCTTCGACTTCTCATACTATGATTCAGTTCTAGCACTGATAAAGGATACTTTGTTCAAAATGTTGTATTGAATAATTACAAAGGATTACGATTATCTACTACTATTTTCTATGTATACATTATAGTTATCGGTCCTAGCACCATTCTCCTGCGCATTTTTAAAGTTTGTTTATGTCACATTTTTCCACGGGCCGCGTTGATACTAACTTCGACTAACTTTTTCCACAGGTCCCGGTCCAGGTCGATATGCCTTACCTTCGTCTGTAGGGTTCATCAAACATGATCATACGAAGCACATGAGACCAGCCTATTCATTTGGACAGCGTTTGGAAAATTCTAGTAAGGTTTAATAAAGATCATACAATGTAATTTGTTATTCGATCTCGGGGGAATAAGGGTGTCCGGTAGACTATTTTTGTAATTTTGTCCTGACCAAAAAGTACATGTGATTATTTTCCACCAATGGGACTTATGCATGAGCAAATGCTTCCGGTCTTCATTGATCAGTTCAACTTTTTATGCAAATTCTATTTAATTAAACATATAATTTTTCTATTTATTTAGTGTTTCGTAAAGATTGCAGCCCCGGTCCAGGGTACTACATTGATCCTCGTGTGACACGAGGCGGCAGAGACGGCACCCCTGCTTACTCCATACTTGGCAGGCAAATAGATCCAAGTAAGTTTTTTCTTTTTATAGATTTTTTGACGTATTTCTCACGATTCCTCCACGCACAGTCACTCTAGAGAGACAGTGCTAACCGTGACGCATTGGAACTTAAGACCTACTCTTGTGAGTTTGTCAACATTTTGTGGGTATTTATCTTATGTTTGCTGAATTTACTTTATATCATGTTTTATATAAAGTACACAAATACATAAAATGCTAAACTGTTAAGATTACATATTATTTTAAAAACGCTAATCCCTCGGATTGAGCGGTAAAATGTCGCATGTGGCATAGACTGATTACGGGATCCTCAAAGCACGCCACCAACGTCAGTATAAATTAGTCATGTGGGCTTGGAAGCGGTCATGATCCAGTTTTATAAGATCATAAATGGTATTGTTACATTATTGTTTCATTATATGAACTTCAAGTTTATTGCGTGTGTGTGATCATTAATACACCGTATCTAAATTGTTATATACTTATTAGGTAATTATTTGGAATTGTTTAAAATTATTATTTGAACGTTATATCATTTTTTGTTCTATTTTGTTAGACTGTTTAAATATTCTATTTTTATTGGGTCATTAAAAAGTTTACTGACAATTTCACACTCTTTCCATATTTCATTATTTAGCAATTATTTGGCCATTATTTAATCCCTTCCCTCCTTATTATTGTATAGTTTTGCTTTGTTTCAAAATTTTACAACGTCACGGTGTCAAACGTCATTATTTCAACGTTTTTATACGTGTTGGTAATTTGTTCATGGCTTCAACTTTATTTGATCTTGTGTTTATAGGTGTCTTATAATTTAACCGTTATTTACAGATTATAAAAACGGATTATAAATATGTTTATATTATGTTTATATAGAAATATCTATCGAAACCGGGTGTAATCTAACAATTCGCATGGTGCTAGGGAGTACTTAGGTCATCTTGCAATAATGACATAAAATTATGTAACCATTACTAAACAACAACAATAATAATGACAACAGTGACTTCCTGAATCCATCAATTACCGGGAGGCTTTTGACAATCAAATGATATTTTAGTTTTTATCAGTCATTATATATTTTTTATTATTTCAGATCAGTTTAAAACACCATGTCCTCGTGCTTATTGTCCCGAAAAAGTTCATCCTCAAGGTGAACGCCATGCTCCATCGTATTCTATGGGAGCAAGGACTAGATATAGGAAACGTGACGCCGTGCCAGCACCAAACAGCTACACACTGCCACCACTTCTGGGTCCTAAAGTACCCAACAACGTATCGTGTCCGAGCTATTCGATGACAGGTCAGGCAAAGACGGGTAGTTACCTTACAGATCTGACTAAAACACCTGGCCCTGGCCGCTACAATGCCACGGCACCAGACGTTAACGCTAGCAAAGCCCCAGTGTATTCTATGCTTAGTCGGAGCTACATGCCCGGCGATGGTACGCAGAAACCAGGGCCTGGAGCTTACAGTCCCGAGAAAGTAGTTGTAAATAAACCCAAACCACCAATTTATTCACTGGGAATACGTCATTCGGAGTACGTCACACCACTGTTTATAGATGCCGATTAATTAAACATCACTGAACTTCGTTTGTGTAAACATCATGTATGGTGATACAATCATGTAATAAAGTGACATGTGAATAAGGACAGTGGGCAGTAATTCATTGTCGTGTTTGGGTGGTGATTTGAGGTACATGCTCTACCAAGCACGGGCTAAGTAAGATTTAAACTAATCTTATATCGGCGCATTGCATTCACGCACGGACGAGAACAACAGTTAGCACGGGAGCCTTCAAACTTGTTGGGAATATACGAATCTTCAGTTCTTTTATTTTGATTAGTCGGTTACAGTAACCAGGGAGGTATACATGTCAGTTCTATGGCTATAAAGCAATAACAATATACACTATGTAATTTCAAAGTGTAGATTGCAGAATGGCATGAGTCTCATCTTCTAACGTGTTTGACCGTAGACCGTGCAAGCCTCCATGGACCATGCAAAGAAGCTGTGCGCGAACGCACCCCCCTTACAATTCACCTTACTTGGATGTGCCGCTCTTTGGGTGTGTTTTTTTCAGCCAGCTGGTCATAAATAATATCCACACATTTCAGGGATTTGATCTAAAATGGGGTCCACAATGTCAAAATGACTTTTTCAAAAAAATGTTTTAGTCAACTGGGGACTTCCTTGTATTCAGCTATATATAGTTTTGATGGAATGCACCCAGAATGCAATGCATACTTGTAAGGTTTAATGTATTATGCATTTATTGAGATAATTTAGGTGTTCTTTTAATATGCTAAGACCATACTTTGGTCTAAAATGGGGTCTGCTGGACAAATATTGGATCTAAAATAGGGTCTGCCTGATAGCCTTTGATCTAAGATGGGGTATGCATTTTTTGTCCAAATTGATCTAAAATTGGCTCTGGGTTTTGCAGTGCAGGCTACACAATATCGTTCCTTGGTTGCAGGTTAATGAGAAGAGATTCAATTTTATAACCACTCATTAGTCACAGTTTTTCACAAGTTGAATATACATACACTTTACCCCCTCAGAAGTATCTTACAGGTGTATGTACTGACAATGGATGAAATCATTTTATCTATGAAGAGCGTCAAAAACAGCAGGATATTTTAATTAATATTGCAACAAATCCAGCCGTTAAAATGCGGGTCAAAACAGCGACACATACTCAAACTTCAACTATGGGAGTAAACACCCTCCCCCCCCGACACCATGTACTTACATATGCAAGTTGATTGTTACCATTAGATCAAAAATGGCCATTTTGGTCCTCAGATTTGCCGAATTCTGATACTTACACATGTCCAGAGCCATAATTCGGAGATGAACAGGGCGATTTCATTCAAATTTTGTATAAGGATCATGCATAATGTCTTTTGAGATTTGAAAAAAAAATGGCTGATTGGCGACAACTTTGTTTTTATTTATGTCTATGCTAATTATGATAGCAAGCTGCAACTTTCATTCATTCGTGCATCATCGAGTTACAAGTTGACAGAGTGCCACAACCAAAAACCTGGTAACACTGCATGATAGTTATTTTGTTGATTTGATTAAATTTGTTGAATTGATGGCCATTTCGCCTAAAATCGCAGTCTGTAAACATGTCCAGAATCATTACATGTAGATGGACACACTATTTTATTCAAACTTTGTACCAGGAATATTCATACTGGGTTAGATGTGCACATCATAACTTCTTTGAGATTCAACAAAAATGACCGATTAGCAGCCATTTGTTTTTTTATTAATTTCTGTGCAGATTTCTAACTCGCCTCAATTACTTGTTCGTGCACAAGTAGTATTTTCATACTGGTAATACTGTGGAATGTACGAGGATCATACATATTGGGTTACAGGGAACAGCATTTCATTTTGGAGATTCAAAAAATTCGTTCATGTTGCATGAAAACAGGAGAGGTTTACAATTAATGTTAGTACAGGCTGTATGGAAAAGATACAAGTAGCCCCCTGCAAAAAAAACTCCCTCTATGGCTCATTTTTCTATCCAATAACATTTGTGAAATCCAATATGGTAGAAACATTTTGGCCCTGCAGATTATGGCTTTATTGAATAAGGTACTGGTACGACAATAGTTTGCATCCAACCAAGTCCAGTTAGAATTAGAGTACTTTCTCATCCCTGGTTCAGAGCATCAGCAGCTACCTCAAAATCTATGGCTAAACTACATTTGAAGCATACCGGTACATTCACCAGCACCTTAATATGCACAACACTTAATAGAGCCAGACCACGGCAAATAGCAATAGCTTCCTCACCAACTGATTGTATCATATATTCAATGATTTTTTTTGCAGAAAAAAACTTTCATTCAACTTTGAATGCCACTTTTATATGTTTAGCATTATTTTTTACAATTTGTGCTGGCCAATTCTGATCAACCTTAGAATATTGTAATATTAGCACCGAAGTACTTATTTTTGCTTAATATATTGATACAGTCACCAAGATCTATACAATATGGCTTTTCGCCCTTTTGAGCTATTCAAACTTCCTTCAGGCACATCCAGAAAAGTTTTAATGCAATCCAAGACAACTGACAGGGCAGCCATTTTGTTAATACACAAATTAGGACTCTGGCATGTTAACAATATCTATTTTGTTCAGTCATTTCGTTGACAAAATGCGAATACATGGCCAAATTTCAGTCAACTTTGACAATATATTGATAAACTCACTGCACCATACTCTGGTACTCATACTTTGAGGACATTTAATGTGTTCTGTCAATTCTGCACAAAATTCACAACTCTAAAAGACCATTTTGGTGCTTTCTGGATTTATTTAAGTGTATTTACTAACACTGATAATTAGGAACAGAAAACAGGAAATTGCAAACATTTCCCCATATACAGTGCAATTTTTACCAATTCATCATCATTTATGAATGTCAGGTTATATAGACCATGCTCCTATTTTCAAATGGAATGTACTATTAACAAATTATTAGAATTTGTAGTCATTGTTCTCGTTAAATGAGTGTACTGAAATTGTGGCAGTTGCATGATAAACTTGTGCATACTCCCGATTCAACTTGAATCATACAACCAAAAGTCAATGTAGTGTTAGATACGTGTAGCACAGTAAATCTAGATCATTTTTCCTTTCAATGTCTTAAATCTATATACCAGTATACAACTTTTATCTTTTAATCAACTAAAAACATACCTCGGTTTCCTCTATTCTAAAATCTATTTTTGAGCATGTTCCAGCATTGACAATGTTCCAAAATTTTAACATTATCTAGCCAAGACTGTCACTCCGAGTGCCCATGGACCTGCATCTATCTACATTGTATAGACCTTAAGAAAACTGGTCAGACTCTGGAATGGGGAATTTACCGTTATTTTTTTCGATTTTACATGTTCAGGCCCTTGGGCTTATACTCTGGGAAGTACAGTAGTGAAAATTTCTGATTGGTCGAGAAACACAGGTTTTAGGAATTTATATAAATGATATTTAAAAAAAATAGTGTATTTGAAAAAACATGCAATCGCTCAATCTAAGGGGCAAGATATCGCCTGATTTTGGGATTTGAGAGCACACCACCAAACCAAACTTGTAGAATGTTTATTATGCACAGCAAACATTGTGAACCACCTTGCTAAACATCAAAACGATAAATAAACTTTATTTCCATACACTCAACAGAAATTACAGAAATTAAACTAGTATCTAAATTTACAAAGAAAATAAGGAAACTACATCTATATAACTACATAAATAACCACCAGAACTGAAACTAGAAAAAAAAAGTTGACAGGGCAGTGATAGGCAATTAATATCTTGATTTGATTGTAACAGTTCGATAGTGGTTCTCTAGAAAATCAGTTTTCAGTATGTACAACAGTATTTGAATTGTGGAATGGAAATTGAACTTTACCAGTAAACACGACAAAAACATGACTGTTCGGTGAAATGAAAGCTGTTTAACCATAAATAAGCTGAAATGGCAGAAAAGACGAGGCAAGTTCACAGTGCATGTCAGGAGCTCAGATTTGATGTCAGAGGGATTTTGAGAAGAAGCTTGCTGGTTCATTTAGCATTCTTCTGCAGGTATAATTGTTCGTCATGATGTATGATTGCACTGTTTTATTCCACAGAATCCAGGATCATGTATCAATGGTAGTTTGATTTAAGTCTTCTAAATAGAAGTATATGTGGTTCTAGAAAAAAAAGAACGAGGTAACAAAGTAAATAAAATTTCACGGCACACTTGGGACAGGAATCCTTGTATATATATTCACTTCAAAGTTTTGATACTCAAATTTTTTTTTTATGTATTTTGTTCTATTCCGATCTAAAAAGGCAGCCAAATTAAATGCTACGAGGAGAGCGAGGAAAGTGGGGATGGGTGGTCCACAAAGTTTCAAAGTTTGAATACTGCTGATTTTTTTTTTATTTCCTTGGCATGTGCTCTTTAAAAATTAGCACTTTTTTTTATTTCCATCCCTAAAGCACTACTGTACTTGCAGTGACACTTAATATTGGCCCCATGCAATCAATGTACACATTGTTTAATACATTGTTTACATGTAATTTGAATGCATGCCGACTGTGGTGCTTTTATATTTATGGACAAAATTAATGTACAAGCATATTGAAGTTAAGTTGGATACAATTAAGGCAATGTAAAAGTTACAAAAATGTTGATTAAACTTTCGACTAAAGATGAACTAATTTTGCACAAAACTGTCTATCACTTGATCAATTATGAAAAATATATGTATCGATAGTACTAGTGTCAAATCCAATCTAGTAACTTGACAATAAAAGCCAATTCTCACCTGGAGAGTGTTTCATGTAATGGATCCATCCTTGACTTTGTTGTACACCGATGCCTCTCCATTCAGCTTCTGACATCAGGTGAGAGTCGGGAACCAGCTTGGCAATATCTTTGGGCAACATCACGTGCCTAAAACATAATTGACATTTTATTGATTTGATGTAGCAGCATAAAGGTACAACCTCTACAGGTCTTTCTACTAACTTGTCATTGTTTCAAAAATAAAAATTACACAAGTATTTTATTCTAGACGCCACTCTAATTTAAGTGTTAGGCGAGAGTGAAAAGCTTCAATTTTGCTCTAAAATGGGTGTTACGAACAGTTCAAAGTTTGCAGTCCAACACCAAAAATGGTCAGTATTTCTAGGCAATAACAAAAATACGAGTTTAATTTAAGGTAGAATCCTACTGCAATTTGAGAAAAATGGTCACAAATCACATAACAATATTAGTTCATTTGGTTTACCGTACTCTGCGCCTGCCCCCCCAATTTTGCGCAATGTTTATACTCAGGGTTACATACGGGAAAGTGCCCACCCCTTATCATTGCTTAACAAGTACTGGTAATCTTATTTATATGATACTGTACATCATGGATATTGACCACCGTGAATGCGTAGAGCACGGTAACCCTGACATGTTAATAAAAGTAAAATGAGGCAAATATTTTATGCCATATTCAGTTTACTTATCAAAAATTGCTAGTTACAAGTTTATAAACAAATATGATATATTGCTTGCTGAAAAATGACGACACTATATTAGGTTACCTATTGAAGTAGTCAAATCACTGCTATGGACACGAGTATGAGGCCAAGGGGCATACCATTGTACAAACTGGAATCCTAAATGTGGGTGCAAACATTTACCAAGAAGCCCACAATGTGCTTGTATATCACCCACATTCTAGTTACATGTATATCAGGGGTACCAATGAAAGTGTAGCTTTTTAATGAAAATCACAGCTTTGACACCGTGGGCATAGCTTGGTCAGGAAAAGCTTAGCTGCAGGAATGAAATCCGCTAGTTTTGACATCGAGAACTCAAGCTTTGAACATATTTTGATGTTGAGGGCGTACACAACATGGCTGCCTCCAAAAGCAGTGTTAGCGACGGTAAGTATTTTACTCGTTTTCTAAACAAAATCACCAAGTTATGCTGTGTAATATGCCGCAATCAGTGAAGTTCAGGTTCAATTTCATTTCTAGAAAGTTTCAGCCACCATTTTACGAAAATTGCAGAGAAATCTCAATTCCAATTTTCGAAGCGAACAGGCTAGCAGGACGTCCTATTCTTATACATGTACTTGGATTTTAATGACTGTCACA